TTCAGGTAAGAAGCCCTGCTTCCTCTCTCTCTCTCTCTCTCTCTCTCTCTCTCTCTCTCTCTCTCTCTGCCCCTTGCCGACTTGTGCCCTCTCTCAAATAAAAAATTTAAAAAGGGACTTTCTAATCTGAACCAAAGACATATCAGAACTCAGGCAAGTTATAAGGTGTACGTTGCACACGGGAAGCTAGCACCTGCTTGAACACTCCACCAGAAGGTTTCCCATCTTGGGGAAAGCATTTGAGAGTTCACGAAGCTCTGTTAAATGCAAGGGATGGAAATCACATTCAGGTTACGAGCCAGAGAGTGGTAAGAATAGTCGTGTCTTAAACTTCACGAGGCCAGAAAACTACAATTAGGCTCACTTTCAAAGTGCCCCTTGTCACCAAGGTTCCTTTACACTGAGCATACATCGTGCTTCCATGTACACAATAATCAAAACCCAAACAGACACGCAGTAACAAGGGTTACGAGAAGGTGGAGAAATTCGAGCCCTTCTACATTGCTGGTGGGATTATCAAATGGTGCCGCCACTTAAGAAAACAATTTGGTGGTCCCTCAACGTGTTAGACATAAGAGTTACCTTGTGACCCAGCAATTCCCCTCCTGCCGAAGACAAATGAAGACACATCCACGCAGAGACTCACACGTTAACGTTCACAGTAGCATCATTCGTAGTAGCCCAGAAGGGAGAAGAACCCAACTGTCCATCACCTGCTAAACAAACAGGTATTCACACACATACAGTGGAATACTACCAGGCCATGAAAAGGAATGGAGTCCTGATACATCTGTGGATGAACCCCTAGCACATTATGCTGAGTGGAAGCAGCCAGACCTAAAGGCCACATATTGTAGGACTCTGTTTATATGAGATATCCAGAAGAGGCGCATCTGTAAACATGGAGGACCAGGGGCCGGGGGAGGGGAGAGGGGAGCGATTGCTAACGAGGACAGCATTGCTTTTATGCTTCTCTTGGGTGGGCCTTCCTTTTAGCAAACGGTAGGCAGAATGGCTATACTTTCCCTTAGCTCCCGTGTCACAATGGCCTCATTCTTCCACAATTTCCTTGAAGGGTTTTATTTTATTTTTTTTTTCAACATTTATTTATTTTTGGGACAGAGAGAGGCAGAGCATGAACGGGGGAGGGGCAGAGAGAGAGGGAGACACAGAATCGGAAACAGGCTCCAGGCTCTGAGCCATCAGCCCAGAGCCTGACGCGGGGCTCGAACTCACGGACCGCGAGATCGTGACCTGGCTGAAGTCGGACGCTTAACCGACTGCGCCACCCAGGCGCCCCAATTTCCTTGAAGGGTTTTAGAATGTCAGGTAAGTGTATGTGTAGGTTTGTAAACGGTAAGTAAGCGAGCCAGGGGCTTTGATGGGATGAGATCCAGACTATCGCAACAGCATCCTTCAGAGTCCCCTTGGTCTCGTCACATTGTGGGTTGGGCGTGGCCCGTTAGGAGAGAGGATGCCAGCTGCCTGATGGCGAAGGGGTATCAAGTCTCTGTGGCAGGTGCCTCCAGAACAATGGCTGAAAGCGGCCCTCTGGAGCCAAAGACAAGCATGTCAATTTCTCCACTTCTCCCATTAGGTCATGGAGCTTGATAACATTGACCTGAGAAAAAGAATGTTGTCGTGTTCCTCACGACCACATGGCATAAGTTACAGAGACTCTAGGGTTTCAGTTAGGAAGTTCTGATTCTACAGGCCATCAGCGCTGGGTACAGTTTCATTCTTTTTTTATTTTTTTTTAGTATTTATTTAAAAAAAAAATTTTTTTTTCAACGTTTATTTA